AGCTATCACCCAGCAGCTGACTGTTTGCAGGTGAGGAACTAGGCAGTGTTTACATGTCTATTGGTTCACATTGTTTAGTACAACAACATGACAAGAAACTGCCCAAACGTCTGTACTGTACGAGTATCTACAATATGAAACAGTTCAATCTGCAGGTCATTCATCATGAATCTTTTAAAGCATTGCTGCTGTATTCCAGCCCTGACAGTAACACTAATCTGTTCAGGCTCCACACGAGTAGCTTTGGAAGCAAAAGTGTTATCAGGAGCTCGTCTCACTGCCGTGCATTCTGTGGCCAGCAAGCATTTAGGCGTGAGGTTACTCAGCTGTGATGGCCGAGTGGTTAAGGCGTTGGACTTGAAATCCAATGGGGATTCCCCGCGCAGGTTCAAACCCTGCTCACAGCGATGACACTACTTCCTTCACTTTAAATAGTTTCCCTTAAAACGACTAAAATCTGTATCTGTTCAAAATATTAGACCAACTGGTGGTTGCTTTCCATGTAACGATAAATACCAAAAAAAAAAAAACCTTCTTCTGACGACCTGAGTGAGCACCAGTTCAGCCAAAACACACTTTAAAGAAAACATGCTCTAAAAAAATAACGAAAAAAAGATAACAATCTGGCAGCAACGTGTCAGAAAATGTATGGTCAGAAAAACAATGGTACATTGTGATGTTCCAAACTGCAAAAAATGTTTCAAAGTCCAAGTAAATGTCTGATATTTTTTTACTTGATTTAAATACAGTAAAACTGTAATTTTACAAACACACTGTAAAAGAACAAATTACTGCTTGTAAAAATACAGATTTTTTTGGGGACATTATTTACCATTTTGATCTTTTACAAACAATGTGCAAATTATCACTTTTTCTGTAATGTTTATAGAAATTTTCTGTCATTTAACAAAACAAAGGAAAATGTGTAAAATAACAGTAAAACATTCTTAACTATTTTAGTCATTAATGTATTTAATTATTCTTTAAAATAACAAATATAAATAATATAAATATTCTTTTAAAAAACATCTGTACAATAATTGTGTTTTTGCTGATTTGACCACAGAAAAAAGTGTAACTTTATGGTTAAACACTGTATGAGAATGAATGACCTTTTATAAAAATACC